TCCCTCTCCCTTTAAAGAATAAACATAAATACATAAATAAATAACCTGCTATATTTGGTCAAACATTTAATTAACTCACTCCTAATGCCGTGGCAGGGCCAGACCCAGTGATTTCGCAGGCCTTATATGGCTCTCGGGCCGGACGCTGCCCACCCTGCTCTGAAAGATGATTTAGCTGTAAGCCCCCCTTGGTATTCCATGACCCTGCCCGACAGTGAGGCCCTGAGGTAGGGCACGGCGTGCGGCTTCACAGCCAGCACTGTGCCCACTAACACCCTGGCCGGGATACGGCATGGCATCACCGTGGCAACCAGAGGTAGGGTCCAATCTCTGGCTTGGCCACCGAGGGCTGGGTGACCACGGGCAGCCCACCTCGCTGGCCCGAGCCGCCACTTAGATCAGCGGTTCTCAACCTGTGGGTCGCGACCCCTTGGGGGTCGAACGACCCTTTCACAGGGGTCGCCTAAGACCATCGGAAAACACATATATAATTACATATTGTTTTTGTGATTAATCACTATGCGTTAATTATGTTCAATTTGTAACAGTGAAATTGGGGTCACCACAACATGAGGAGCTGTATTAAAGGGTCGGCATTAGGAAGGTTGAGACCCACTGGCTTAGATGGACTTCCCTCCGCTCTGCCTGCTCCAAGTCCTGGGATTCTAGAGCAAGGGGGCCTCGAGAGAAGCAGGCCAAATTATGAAAGGGTAACAGTGGCCACTTCTACAGGAAGTCTCAGAGATCAGCACAGGAGATCAGCTCGCGGGGAGCGGAAGAGAGATGAAGCAAGAGGCAAGAAGACTGTTAAGAGCCCTGCGTGCGCAGCGGACCCCTGGAGCAGGCCCAGCAGGCCCAGGAGGCGCAGGAGGCCCAGGAGGCACAGCAGGCCCAGGCGGCGCAGGAGGCCCAGGCGGGAGTCTGCAGCCCCTGGAGCAGGCCCAGCAGGCCCAGGAGGCACAGGAGGCGCAGGCGGCGCAGGAGGCCCAGGCGGGAGTCTGCAGGTGGGAGCTGCCCCCGTGGCGATGCTTTTCTTGGAGGGATGAGGATGGGGGAGGCAGCAGGGCCCCCAGGCAGCTCGATGACAAGGATGCAAAGGGCTGAGTCCTCTTTTCTTGTGAATGTGGGGCTCTCCCTGGCCTAATGGAGGGCACCTGGGCAGGAGATGGGGTACATTGCCTGCCTTTAAATGTCATGTGACCCTGGGCAACTCCCCTGGCTCCTCAGAGCCTTGGTTTGTCTATCAAGTTGGAGGGAAGAGGGGTGAGTGGACCAGAACAAGGCGCGAGGTGGGCTCTCGGACCCGTCGCCTGGACAGTTAGGGTCTGTGACTCGCTGTCATTTGTAGCTATTGCTGTGAGGGGGTGACGCAGACCCAGCCCCTCACCACTTTGGTGAGAGAGTGATGGGGACGGGGGAGGCCCCGGGCACCTGCAGACACTGTCTTGTGACTCTGCCGCGCGGACTTCAAACTTTGCCTGATTTCTTGGGCGAGGAGTGTGGGGAGAGGGGCCGTGCTGCTGGGTGTGCGATGTGTTCCTGGTCACGAGGGGGCTTCTGGCGGGTGAGGGGGTGAAGGAGCGAGGTTGCGATGATCCAGGAAGGGGACGGGGTCCTCAGGGGGTGCCCCTGCTGCTGACTCCAAGGCCTAAGGTTCTGAGTGACCGAAGGGCAGGGACCTTCGCCCGGGGCTGTGAGGGCTGAGGGGCTGTGGTGAGCGCCAGCCTGGCTGGCTGGTGGGAGCTGCTGAGGGAGGGTGAGCATGTGCGGGTGAGGTGACCGAGGGTGTCCTCCTGCCTCTGATGGCCGTGCCTGGCCCTGAGGGGCACAGACCGCTCCTGGCGGGGGCCGGAGGCTCCTGGGGGGACACTGCTCTGACGGTGCCACCGGTGCTCTGGGCAGTGCTGGCTGCAGGGCACCTGCTATCCTCTGTCCAGGCTCCTGATGGGCAAGGAGGTGGCGTGGATCCTGGGAGGACCGGCTCCCAGGGCTGGTGCTGAGGCGGCTGAGAGGGCTGGGCGCTGCTTTCACACCAAACGCCCGCCGGGAGCTGGGAGCTGGGAGCGGCCGGGGCAGCACAGATGGGAACTGCCCCCAAAGGATGTTAAGAGCGTCCTGTGTCCCGGAAAGTGGCCGCAGGGAATGGACTTCAGGATCCTACCTTCCCTGACGTATGGAGCTGACAGGCTCCGCGCTGTGGCCCCACATCACAGAGACTGCCCCCAGCACTGCGGTTCTAGAAGCTTCTGCAGTGGGAATGTTATCATCTGCCTGTATCTCCTTCAAAGGAAGTGGGTGTGAAACTTGAGTTTCCAAATCCCACAACCGCGAGTAAAGCCGCCCCTCTGCCCGCCCATGGGGCTGTCACGCCCTCGGCTGCTCCGTGGGCGTCTGTGACTCACAGATGGGCCTCCTGCCACCCAGAGGCATCTCTG